ATTCTGCATCGAATAAAGTATCTTTAGGAAAATTCCGAGTAAAAATGTTTTCGATGTTCCAGAGGTGGGATACGGCTAGAAATTTCCCGAAAAGTTAAAAATAGCTTTTCCAATGTGTCATATGTCTCATTCGACGTAGAATTTCACGCTGATTTCGAATATATGACTCTTGTTCAAAACAAGAAAAAATGTTCACCCTTATAAGCCTCTGTTCTTTAAGTGAGAACTAACAATCTTGGTGAAACAGCTGTAAATGGCAATTAACATTGTTTTAGTAGCAAAGATGTTATTTTTTTAAAAACAAATGTAATATTGCAAACAATAGTAAGCAAAAGCCATAAATAAGCATATGTGCAAGCTTTAATTTTTTTCGTCATTATTCTCTCACCACATATTTTCTATTTTGAATTACACTCCAAAGACTAAATTTGAGAAACACGAATGATGGCAACAAGCAGGTATGGATAAACAATATAAAAGACAACAAAAAAAAAGACAATATCAAACAGCCAACATACCAGCATTTGTTGTAAATATTGAATGGGATGATCAGATACAGGTTTAGAATTAATTTCTTTAATTTCATCACCCACATGCAATGTTCCTTGACGATGAATCATGCCACCATGCATTATACGAGCCACTAAACAACGTTTAGTTTCAGTCATTCGTAATGTTATACCCTAAAAATGGCAAAAACAAAGATAGATTAATTAGATAAACATTTCTGGGTATCAAATTCATCAATCTGAAACCACATTCTTTGAAAAGATATTTTGTTGACAAAAGTTGTCAACTACTTACCATCGGTTCGTCTGTATTGCGTTGAAACTGGACGAGTCTAACACGTGTTACATCACATGCCAAATCACCTTGTGTGTCGACAACTCCTGTTCCATTTAAATCCTCTGAACCATCATTAAATTGAGAATTTCCTCCTAGAGGCGGAGTTACACGAATTGCTTCATCACCATACACTTCTTGAGCAACTACATCATGAGCTTGTAATAACGCCTAAAACAATAAATTATTTTAAAATAAGCTCATAATAGAGACTTATTATTAAGACAAAATAATAAAACATCTCTATCCATAACATTTAACATCTCAGTTAGACAGATATCAGATTGCAAAATGCATGATGAAAATACTAGCAAGAAAAAAGATCACAAAATATCTTACTGTATCATATATTTAGAAAATTTAAGTCCAAGTATGTAACAGTATAGAAATTAGTTTAAAATAGTAATGATACAAACCAATAAACCTAATTCAAGTAAAATACATCGTTCCAAAGTATTTATTGTATTTACTGTCGACATACAACATACTCATTCTACATATGTATGTGTCGTTGTTAATCTGATCTCAAAAAGAAAGACTATCGGTTTGTTGTAAAAAAAAAATAAAAATAACGACAAAATAATAATAATCTAGTAGTACTCTTCAAGTACTGAGTACAGAAGAATAAGAAAAAGAAGAAAAAAGGAAGAATCAGCACGAACATCACAAATCAGTGTCTATAAGATAGAGATGTGTTAAAAAATATAATTAACAGAAAAAGAAAATATTCATATGGGCAGTGATAAAGATAGAAGATGTTGTTGAGCATTTTTTTTTTTATTTCAACAAAATAATGTTCTTTTTTCTCTGATGATTAATATAAAATGAGTGACTTTTTTTTTTCTTTTTTTTTTTTATTGTTGAAGTTTTCCGGTAAAAATAAATGTATGCCACAATTGATCAATTTTAACAGAATTTTGTACAACGACAACGACAACAACATCAACTTCATTTAGAGACATAGACAAAGACATATATGCGTGTTATTAATGAAGTCATTGACAATTGAAACGATGAGAATTATTATTACATACAACCATGTCAAAATAAAAATAAAAAATACAGTCGAATGTGTTAAACTGTCAATCATATATAATATAACAATTAGTTATCATAAAAGAGTAGTACCTGAAACATTTAGCATCTTTGTCAAAAAAAGCCAAAATATATTCTAATCATAATAGAAATACTCGTTGTCTATAAATTATTGAGTTTCTATCATTCCACTTGTTTGTATTCTCACAAACACAGATTTATGTTGTGTTTATATCTTACGATTAGGTTATTGTTCATCAAAAATAGTGCTCGACTTCGGTATGAAACGATGTTATCTGATAGGACACATAGAAAAAGAAAATAGAAACTTAAAAAAGCAGGAATCGATCACATCTCTGAATTGTATACTAATTTGTTGTAGTAAGGTAAAAAAGTCTTGATAAATGAACTACTCGATACAAAAAAACACACACACACACACACATACAGAAAAATGAACTGAATTGATAGCATATGGTGATGTTCCCAAGTTTTTTTTTGTATCATTCAAGAATGAGTTGTTATTTCACGTAACAATTTTGTCAAAAATATGTTTATATTTCCCTTGACATAAAATATGAGTATTTAATGAAATATTAAATAGAAATACATGTATGTAGTTGCAAACCATATGGTCCATACTATGTTTCAGTTTTGCTTCGAGCAAATAAATATTCCATTTATAGTTTTTTTTATTTTTATTACTAATGGCAGCTCTTCTATGTGGGAGTCAAATCTATTTTCTTGATAACTCTCTTCCACTAAGTGATACTTAATATCAATCCATTTAGTTTGAAACAGAAACTTTTTTATTTTCATCATTTGTTTCAATACCCATAAAAAGATTTTTTTTTTTTTTTGAAGTCAAGGTAAAATAACAGTCTCATTTCTATCAAAAGAAATACATAGAACATTTAAAAAGAAACAAGAATAAAAGAAAATCGATACTCATCTCTACCACTTAACATTATTCTTTATATTTTAAGAGCATTACATTCTATCTTCAAAACAAAAATAAAAATCTATTTTTTAATGTCTAATGCTCGACTTTTATTTCTTTTATACATATATATGATAAGCATAAATGATAGTTAATTATATGCTTAAATATTGACTACAAATATTCAAATATGTATTTAAATTACTCTTTTCTATTAATTGTTTAACAGATATTTTTCTATAAAGTATCGCAAAAAATAAAAAATAAAAAGAACAATCACTTATTTGTTGATGATAGGTAAACTATAATCTTTTCATTTATTTTTAATCTTATTTTGTAGATTGATGATTGACTATCTTTCATTAGACATTTCATCTAATGATTGGTGTTATGAGAACTCGAATTCTATATTATTCTTCACAATTTATAAGTGAAAATTTTCTTGAAAATCAATAGAGTCAGTCATTATCGATTGATTGCAATAATATTTTATTTCAACTCTCTCTCTCTCTCTATATATATTTTTTTTTTTTCTTTTATCTTAAACAACAGGGTTATTCCGGATATACACTCAAATTTCTGTATAATTGTGAAGTATATATACATACCATATGGATGTTGTATTGAAGTGATTGAACTTGACTCAGGTCTTCTTCTTCTGTTATTTTCTTCTTCACATTATTGTTCTCAAACAGCACAAGAAAGTTGTTCGAACTATTATTATCATTATTATTATTCTTTTCAACTAATCTGTCTCATTTTAATGCATCATTATCTTTTTATATCGAAAGAAAAATATTTTCCTATTTCTATTCTCTTCATCTATACGCAATATAAACATTTTTTTTTGTTAGCATTTTTTTTTTTTTCTCTTCTATTTTTTTTTTCTTCTTCTTCTTCTTTAAATCACTAATCGTTTGCAAATTGTTATCTATCATTAGGTAAGTGGTAACATGCACAAATATGTACGCGCGCATCCCTATCTCTCTATTCAGTATTTCTTTTGTTTTTTTTTTTCTATTCTTTTATCTAATTCAATCTCTCTAAGGATACAGAGTGATTAATAAATAAAAACTTTGATTTTGCATGAAGAAAAAAAAAATAAAATACAAAATACAAAATATGAAAAGAAAGAACGCTTTTTCTTCCCATTTTTCTTCTCTTTTTTTTTGTTTTTTTTGTTGAATAGAGTGTACCAAATATAAATTTATCAGTATTTACATTAATAAAATAACATCAATTTAAAATATTTCTATCCTATAATAATTCTTTTATTACAGTTATTGATGTAAGCGGGCAGAAAGATGCGGATAGTTTTTATTTCTTTTTTCCACTGTCTTTCTGATGTTCAAACTTCTTTTTTTTATGCGCGTATTATTTATTGATTCCCATCGGATGAGTCGATAATGATACTGAGAAATACACTAAAATAAGTTTAAAAAAAAAAAATGATGGCTAAAAATCCATCGATTCTCTGTACGAAAAAAAAGAAACTTCCAGTAAACAAATTGCTCTTTAAGTATGTGACAATATTTTATAAAAATTTTCTTTTATCTATAGTTACATTAACGGCTCATATTATTGCGTCGTAACTTTTACTTTCTATTAATTCTTCACAAATAAATTTTCACATTTTATAATATAGAACACTAGATAGAAAGAAAAATTTAGCTCCATTACTAAATCTTCTTCTCATATGCTTTATGTAGCTAAATTATTCGAAATATTCAACACTTTAGAACATATATTCAAAATAAGGTATCGTTCAAATTTCAATCAATAATTTTTACATGAGCTTAAAAATGAGACTAAAATGCACTTATCAGTAGATCTTTACACAAATGTCATTATATTAAAATAGACAATTTTATAAAGAAAAAAAATTTTAAGAAAAAGTCCTTGTAAAAATGAATATAACTTTTCTTCTCTTTACGGTAGTACAACAACAACAACAACAACAATAAAAGTATTTACATCAATGTTTAATTTTATTATAATAAATTTTTATCCGAATTTGTATGAAACATTTGTATAAGAGTATTAGTAAAAGAGAATAGATCAAATACTTCAAAGTTAGTAAAAAAAAACCTTTATTTGAAATCCTAGAGAATGATTTACATCCGTAGCGTGTGCAATTCATAAAATACAGTACAAAACTAAAAAATTGTTACTTACACGTTTAATATTTTCAAGTGCACAATAAACACGTAAACTATGTTCATCCATAGATTTTAAACACTTTTTAATTATTGATTTAACGATGATGGTCATAATGAGAATACGTGAACACGTTAAAATTTATTGATAAATAAATTTCAATTTTTTTTATTTTTCGTAGTTTACACTTATTTTAATTGCAAACAAAACCCCCTTTTTTAAACTTTATTGTTCTCTTCTTTTTCTCTTTTTTTTTGTTGTCTTTTATCGTTAAACAATACATAGGAAAAACGTATGTTTAGAAAACTAGAACTAGTCTATGCCTCTATAGAGAAAAATGAATATATTAAATTTTCAATGCATTCCACAAATACATCTGCACACATCATATATACAAAGACGGAAAAAATAAATCTGAATGTCAATTTTTTTTTTCTTTTACTATAATCACTATTATAATAATATTTTCTAAGATCTGTTTAGTAGAGTAAAGAGAGAAGGCAAAAGAACGAAGAGAAAAAGACGATAATGATAATCAAATTTGAACCAAATACATAAAATGGTCGTCATCATTCAACAACAATAACAAACATAAGAGTAGAGATGAGAAGAAGAAGAAGAAGAAGAAGAAGAAAAAAAATAAAATAGATAGTCACTTTTTCTAAGAGTTTTATAATAGTTTTTATAGAACAAAAGACAGCATCTAACTGAGCAACAAAAATATTTATCAAGTGAACTGAGAAGAAGACTATTAAATGACAAATATATTATATTCTCTTTTTATTCAAACAGCTGGATGAACGAATCCTACGGCTAAAGATTAAGTATAATATAACCTATTTAGCTATTTGAACTTTGATAAGAGATAAGATTAGATAGATAATTTGCACGCAATTATCCAGATTTTTAAAATCATAAAAATATAATTTTATGAAAATTTATTCAATATTTCTGATAATACTGTAGAAGTGACAATAAAACCTCATAATTTTTTTTCGTCAGTATGATTTATAACAATTAAATAAAAAAAAAATCTAATAATACAATAATCAATATACGTAAAATGACATTGACGAATTCTAAACTATTGTTTTTTATTCAATGACATTTGTATTCAACAATATTTGTTTACATATAGTTGACATAACATTGACATATGAATTATTCGTTACTTAAGATTTTGTATTCTTTTTCTGACTAATGATAAAAACGTTTGATTACTCATCTAACGGGTAAAAATAGGCTAGTTTTTTTTTGTTATTGTTTTCACAATAATAAATAATATCAAGAAAATTAAGTACTCTTTCTATTCTTAAACGATTGTTACAATTTTAATTTTCAATTTTTCTTCATTAACTTACGGTAAATTTTTCACTTAGTTTTTTCATTTTCACCTCTTTAGTCGATGTAGATAATAAAATGCCTTTTTTTTTTAAAAAACTGTTTCTGCTATTCAACTGATGTGAAAAGGCAAAAAAAGTCATAAAAAAAAACAAAAGCTTCAAAAAGAAAAATTATCATCTATCATTATTATCATCCAGTCCTCTAAGGTTCAAGCTGTTCGCTTATAAACACAAAAAAAAAAACACTTGTTATAAGTCTTTAACTTACGTTTTAATAGCTTAACTATAGAATATATGCACGATGAAGATTAATCGGTAGTAATACTATTAGACAACAAAACAAAAAAAAACAAAAAAACCATCAGGTATTAGCAAATATGATGGCATAAAAAAGAATTAAAAAAATGTTATTATTGTCGTAATTGCCCGAATGTCACAGATTTTTGAAAATAAATTTGCTTTAATGAATGTATGTGAAAACGTTATATAGAATTCGTACCATAATACTTTGTGTTTTTTTAATCAACTCATTCACCAAACAAGGTCATACATCACATTCAGATATTCCCTTTCTGGACACGAAATAATACTTATACGAATCTGAGAGAGCGAGTGAGAAAGAGAAACATCGATATAGCGTCCAAACTCCGATTCAGTCCAAACTGAGATTGGACTAGGCCAATGCAGGATTGGACGTGAAAGTGAGTAGGCCAATCTCAGATTAACCTAGTCCAATCTCAGTTTGGTCTGAATCGGAGTATGGACGCCCACATATATATATATATATGTTCTTCGTTTTACTTTCATAATTATCGAAAAGAGCTCAATATTTAATTTGAAGAAAATCGACTTTCTGTCCTATAAGTGATATCGTCTATGAGATATATCGTTTGAGTTTTAACAATGAGAAAGAGGTCTGTGTCTGTGAATGAGACAAAGTGTTCGTGAAACGAGTAATTAGTAAGATTCTACATGGTCCAGTCCAGGATCATAATTCTTTAGAATCGAGACCATTCGAACTATGAATGTCTCTAGAGTATGAGATCTGATGTTTCGTCTTGAGTATTTTCTGTCATGACAAAAAGAAAAGTTTTCACACTATTTATAGCTGGACCCATCTACTTTAAGCACTTTTGACGGCAACAAGCGGGAAGATTCATCGAATCTTCAACTAAAAGCTATCAGTTCTTAAATAAACAAAGTTTTTTCACTTTTGCAGAAATCTGGATAAGACCACGATTTTAGGGAGCGTTACATTTTCTTAATGGAGCATTTATACCTGATTAGTGTTACAATATCTTTGTAGAACACGCTATATTGAGATGCAAACGTTACAAAAAAATATTTTATCGGCACTGGTTGTGCACAGATGCGCACCGGTGCCGAATAATTTTTTTTTCTGGGCGTCGCATCGGTGCCAGAAAGCATGTAAAAATCTCGCACCGATGCGCACCAGTGCCGAAGTTTTGTTTTGTCAATTTCTGTCTATATTAACATCACAGTCTACTTCTAATATTTCAAATGTCTTTCTGACTTCATCTTTTCCTATTCATAAGAGAAGTGCCAAGGCAATGGCGCATGGTTTTGGCATGTCAATGTGGTACTGATCAGTGCCTTACTGAAATTTTTTTAATGGGGTATACCTTCGTTATATGCGATAAATTTCAGAGAAAAACAAAAAAACGGAGTAAATAGTGGTAGGAATCCGTCTGGTAGTTAGTCGTTGAAACAATTTGATTAAGTCGAAATGTTTTGGAACGAATCAGATTGTAGTTTATAATTAATAAAATTTTCTAACAGATAAACAGTTTCCCAAAAGCTGAGACTATATATCTAGTTAATCTTCCGATAAGATAAATGTTACCTGAAAATGGGGTTTCAATAATATGGATAATAATTCTTTATATTCATGTTGTTTTGAGTATTCTTCTAATAATTGTAAAATTTCATTAGTGGCAAAAACAGCGTTCGGTTCAGGACAGGCATATGGACGAATATCATCAGAATTAATACGATCATAGAGCTAGAAAAACATAAAAGAAATAATATTTGATTTAATATTTGTTGAAAACTTATTTAATTAAATAGAACTTACCTCTAATAAACTTTGTAATTGTTTATCTTCAAATAATTTTTGTAAAAAATCTAACTCAACACGATCACCAATTGTCAACCATTGAGTATCTTCTAGACTATCCAATATTTGAGAGACAGCTAGAAAAAATAAAAATATTCTTAAATCATCTTGAAACAATAGTGCTAAAATTTAAACAATTCATAATTTTTATTATGAACATGTCATTTCAAATGGAGATTCATTTATTAGAAGCGAGTAAATGATGAAAAAAGTGACTAACTTTAGGTTTTACATTCATAATTGGTTAAGAAATAGTTTAAATTTAATTTTAATCCTGTTTTTTATTCGAAAATAAGATAATTAAATTATTGTATTTACTTTACAATCACTTAAAAACATGCTCATATATAGGATGAACTTTTAATAATAGTATCAATTGTTTACCTTTACTCGTTTCATGTTCTCTATGATGTTGATAATAATAATTGTTATTATTATCATTATTATTATTATTATTATTCTCATTCTTGTTTGTTTTTTTAAAATATTTATTTATTTTTATCTTTTGTTGACCATTAGATTTTATCAATGACATTGTATTTGTCATTGAAAATAATACATATTTCACTATTGTTTAGATACACTTTTCAATTAGAAACAATAATCAACATAATATTGTATGTGTATGTGTGTGTCAGTTAGAACTATATATAAATTATATACCTTTTCTCACGCATATCATTTAATCATTTTGTTTTTTTATTGAAGTATTACTTGACTTCTCTCGTGTCCGTGTCTACCGATTTTATTTGTATCCTATGAAGAAGAACTGATCATATTCTAATATATCTCATCATATATATATATATATATACAAAGAGAAAAATCCTTTTAACTGTAAAAAAAAACCTTACAGCTTGAGGCCAACGAAACAAACAGATTATTTCACATCTATATGGTCAATGAAATAAAAGAAGAATATGAATAGAACGTATGCATGGTATTAACAGATTAAATTTCTTCTCCTCTACTAGACTGATCTAGCCACGAATCAATTTAAGAATTGATTAATTACACTTGCAAAAAAATAGTCACTTGTTTTGTTTTTTTTCTTCTCTCATTTTCTTTTCTTCTTCTAATGAAGGAATTCAACTCATTTAGAAAAAATTAATATGTGTTCATTAAATAAGAACAGATGCAAACCCTCTTTCCCCACCACTACTCCACATATATACCAATTTTTTTGTTTTTGATCGTTTTTGCGAAGAAAATATGCATATTGATAAATATATTTTTGTTTTTAGATTAAAGAAATAATTAACTACAACGAAAATAATCAACTATACATTCACTACACACACACACACGGAGTTAATCGGAGCCAGAAAACAAAACAATTTATTAATTAATTGAAGAACTTTTGTTTTTTGAGGAGTCATTCACATCACACTTGTTTTAACATGTTACATCACATTTATTCATGATGAAATACGAACAATTTTTAAAACTTATTCTATACTCCCATTAAAACTTCAGCATTTTTTTAGAGAGCACAGATATCCCATAAAGAATGAGTCATTTTATATTTTGCTTATATTTTTGTCAAAATTTATTCGTAACAGTGTTTTGTTTTACGAAATTAACTGGTATAAAATTTTTTACAAAAACATATTGACTATGTTTAATTGAAAAAATATGAAAATGAGATGTTATACGAAAAATACTGAAAAGCTCTCCAATGGTCAACTTTCAAATTTTAATTTTAAATGACGATGCATAAATCAGCTGCATCAGATTACATCTTCTCATGTTGTCAAGTATTCTCTTTCTTCTCGTATAGAATAAAGTTCTTCTAAATCGAATTTTTTGCTTATAGAGTAACGTCATTGAAATTAGGTATGCACCAGTTTTTAACTGGTGTTGATACATTGGGAAAAATTGCTATACATCGATTATCGAGGTTCGCTCATAACTGCGAAACGTCTCATTTTGTAGAAAAATGTTTGCTCCATCAAATGCATTTATTAAAATAAATTTCCAAGGTATTGCTGGCAAGACAGGTTTTTTTTCGTGATATGGTGCATTTCCGAATCCGAATGTTCTAAGTTTTGTCAGCAATATCTTGGGAATTTATTTTAATAAATGCATTTGATGGAGCAAACATTTTTCTACAAAATGAGACGTTTCGCAGTTATGAGCGAACCTCGATAATCGATGTATTAACACCAGTTCAAAACTGATGTATACCTAATTGAAATTCTCTGAAAAACAGCGAAATTTTGATCGTTTGACGAAGCATATTAGAAAAAAAAAGCTTTAGAGCTATTTTTAACAGACACATTAATTAAAAGCTTTAAAATAAAAGTAACACGAACCAAAAATGTTTGATCTTAAACGAGTTATGAGAATTTTACGGCATGATGTGAAATTGCTCTCTGAAAGTTATGATTTTTTGGTAAAAAAGAAAAAAGAAGAATTTTTCATATAACTAGTTCTGATGGGAGGAACGTCTGGTTGCAGGTAAAATATAGAGTTTTTTAAAGGTTATTAAATGATTATTTAGAATTTTCCATATAGTGTATAATAGGCACCGGTATTTACCGGTCACAATTCCTCGTTTTTTTTACATAAAATTTTGACTACCACAAAATGACCTTTTAAAATTTTTTTGATGACTCGGTCTTGTAGAGCAAACATTTCTCTACAAAATGAGGTATAACAGCTCTCATATCTTTTGTTGTCATCTTGAATCGCAGTAATCAGACAAAAAATGTTTCCTAAACATCCTACGACCGGTACTGCTATCGGTATCGGTAAATACTGATTTAGGACTTTTCGTCGAGGAGTGATTGTACCAGGCAGAATAAAGATGAAGGATTGTGCCATACCTCATGTTGTAGAAAAATGTTTGCTCTAAAAAAACTGAGTCGTCAAAAAACTTGTAATTTTTGGTCAATATGATTCAGCAAAAGAGGAAAATATACCAGTACATACCGATGTATGAGTCTATTCATCAAGTTCTATAATTACCGTTTTACTATCAATACTTCAAATCCTTATTTGAAGCACGAAACAATAACTAGCGTCCAATCGTATACTTTAAATGTTGCCATCTCTTATCTTCATTAATCTTCTGTTTTGCATTTTTTCACTCGAACGACAAAATATTCTTCTCATAGAATGGTAGTCTTCACTATAGAAAAAGTTGAATAGACAAAGACTTTTGTATTCAAAACAACTTTTCGATGAAATCTAGGTTCCAACATCATCATATTTCGTAGTTTTTTACTTTTTCTGGATTGTCTGCTAAAAGTTACCTGTTTGTGTTATCATCATGTAAAAAGTTTTCTTTTATTCTGCTTTATAAATTTAATTACTTATCTCTCGATCTGAATAAATATATGTGGGTGTCTCTCTCTCTTTCTCTTCTTTTCCCGTAAAACGTAATTATTCTCAATTTGTTTTCATTAATAAATATTCTCTACTAAATAATTCATGAAGCAAAAAATGTTCACACACGAGATCGTATCTTTATTAAAAATTAAATTTTATCCTAAAATAGAAACTATCTTACCTGCTGATGCCATATCGTCATATTCAGGTGAAAGAGAACCGTTTATCATTGAATTTATTTGAGACCAACGAGGACTAGAAACAGCGGCGAGTACAGCTCCCTAAAATAATCATGAATAATTATATAATGTTTCAACTTTTTATTGCCCAATCAAAGTATTTTCGGTTCAATGTTTTCCGATGCATTATAAAAATGTTAAGACATATTTTTATTGAGTATTACATGCTGCTTAGATCGTTCGACTAGTTCAGGAGAATTTACCTTTAATTTTCTTCTTGCATTAAATTTTCTCAGTTCATCAACAGTATCAGCCAAATGTTTTCTAGATGCAAATTTTTCACGTTCCTAAATGGAAAATAGTAAAGAATATAACTAAGTAAAATGAAGAAAAAAGTCATTTTTACTCACTCGAATCCACGGATGAGCAAGTGCATCTTTAATTGTCATTCTATCATTTGGATTTAAACATAAAAGATGAGTCACTAAATCTTTGGCTGAATCACTTATTTGTTCCCATTGATGATTTTCCATCTAAACAATCAACATAAATAATTTTATTTTTAAATTTTAAAAGAAAAATTATTTTTTGTTATATTTTAGGCATTCGAACAGTTTTAACTTCAGTAGATAAGTAGTATCAAACTTGAAGTTGATCAAATTTTACAAAATCTGTGCAGTGGTTTAAAGGGATCCCCCTCCTCAAGAATTCGATTTTTCTTCGAAATCTTCGAAACTGAAGTAAGCATATGGTTGAGTATCCCAAAGTGTCATTTTTTTCAGGATCCATCTCAGTTTACCAGAAATTCAATGTTTCTGGAGGTTTTCGAAAACAATTCCAGAAAGCCCTAAAAACCACCTTTTTCTAACTTTGACATTTCAGTTAAAGTTTTTTAAGGTTGTCTGTTTTAAGAGACATGGAGCTATGTTGAGCAGAGTGTTCTGACTAAAATATAATCTCCCACAGGTTTGTACGACTTCGCCTTGCAGAGTTATACTTGTTTTGCTAAAGGTACTGAATTATAATTAATGAAGTGATGATGTCATTGCTTAGAATATTGTTTTGGCGCAGGGAAATTGCTACTCCTTTCTCCCAGACGATTCATCATAAAACCTTCATTTTTTTTTGATGTCGACAGATATTATGAGTTTTTGCAGGGATTTTTGTCCTTTTTCTTTTCTTTAGTCGTTTTTTTGCAAAATGTGAGTCGCGTGATCTGGAGAACTACGAAACGTAGAAAACTTCTGAAAACTGGCGCTAATTTTTATGAAAACTTCTAAGTACAAAAAATCTTAGATTATGAGTTAAAAATGGTAAAATAATTTTAAATCAAAGTGGATACTCGATCTCATCCGATGTAAAAAGTGGATTATTTATTTTTTATCTTTTTTATTATGTCGACAGACATTATGTGATTTTGCTGAGTTTTTTGTTTCTTTTTCTTCTATGACCTTTTTTTGCTTTGTGAATATTGTGAGTCGCATGATCTATAAATCACACATCGTGCAATCACCTAGACATTTGTGGTAAAATTAAAAGTGCGCTTTTTCAGAATTCAAAAAGCGTCAAATATGTTTGCGCGATGGGCTATCTAACGTCGTAAAAGTTTTTATCCAAGTGATGAATTTTTGGAAAAAATGTATCTGAAAATAACCTAAATTTCAGTTACTTCAAAGAAAAAGTCTCTTTTTATTGGATTAAACCAATTTGGAATCTAGGCACTTTCACCTATTTATAAATAAAAAAAGCTGCTTATATCTTTCACGAGACAGGGATACATTGGTAAAACAAATATTCCAGGTTTTTGAATTTTTTCTCTATGCTTGATGTCAGAGTAAAAAAAAAATGAAAAGAGCTTCCTAAATTTCGTTAGCAGCGTTACCGATTCTACACTCAGATATTTTTCGAAAACATTTATTGCACATTGCATTTCTTTATAGTTTCTTTTACTGTGATCATTTAGCTTTTTGTTTTTTCTTGCATCATTGCATTGAAATCCTTCGAACAGTTACTACACTTGAGAATTTTGCTGTCACCATCATCAGTGTACTCTTCACAGTTGCTACACGAAACCGTTGTACTCAGACTGTCTATGACAATTATTTTTGTTTATTATTTTGTTCAATCAGCTATTACCAAATCTTTTGCTATGACTGACAGTAGAAATGTAGTCTGTCGACATCACAACTTGTGCACAGCATAATTACAATCTAGTTTAGTTTGAAGCTAAGACATTTATCTAAAGTTTGATCCGTAGCGATTTTTGAATTTCGTTTTCTTGCAGAGAAAAGTGGAAAATACTCCTCCGACTTTAGGGTTATTTTCAGAGTTCTAACTTAAAATACAATGTAGCAAATGAACAGAAGCAAAATCCCAAAATCGCTACGAATCAGACTTTAGATTTTAGGTGTCTACTTTCATTTGAGACCACTCGCAGCTTTCTGCTCCTTGCAACAAAAAAGCCTCAAGATTTTTCCTAAGAGCCCCATGTTGCCCCTTAACCCACCTATAACTCGACAATGCTCCAAGCTTTCGAGTTGAAATTTTTAGCATAAGCTATTTGGATAGTAAGCATTAATCACTGTAAGAGCCGTCGAAATCGGATGTGAAAGGGAAAAGCTTTTTCCTAAGGACGGCCCTTAAGAAAGATTTCTTAATATCGATACTTACACTATAAACACCTTTTGATATCATCTCAAATACTCTATTTCTTGTGCCAGCAAATGGTAAACTACCAGTTAATAGCACGTATAGCATGACACCACATGACCACATATCCACAGGTTTACCAAAACCAGATTCACGATTAACTACCTCAGGTGCCATAAAAGCTGGCGTGCCAATGCGTCCTACAAGAAATAAATTTATCAGAGTTTTCATAATGTAAACAGTTGTCGAAGAAGCAATACAGGCGTTAATCATATACCTGTACTTAGCGATTATGTAGCGTTAAATCTAAGAATCTTCGCTAAAGCGTCTGTGGTGTAAAATCCTACCTATCGTTCTCAATTGGTAATAGAGTAGTAAGGTAAGAAAATACATAGCGCCAACAAAGGCATGAGATTGTGTCTAAGCTGGACAGTTTTCGAGAAGCAAAAACAAATGTAGAATTGAACGAACCAACCTGCGTTGATGTATCCACATTCCGGTAATTGAATTGCTACTCCAAATCCTCCTAATTTAACTGGTGCTGCATTTTCTTTTGACGATAGTAGAACACAATGTGGTTTTAAATCACGGTGAATTATAGAATGATCATGAATATATCGAACAGCTTCAAATACTTGTCGCATATAATGACTAAAAAGCAGAAAACGAAAAGAATATGCTTTACTAATAACTATTTTGCACACTTACCTAGCTACAGCTTCGCTATAAACAAAACCAGCAATTGCACGCTTTTCTATTTCAAAACACAAGTCGGCTCCATCCATGCTACAATAAATCAGAAAGATATTAGTAAAAATAATATAGAAATATACGTACACTTACTATTCGAAAACCATAAATAAACATCCTTCTGACTCAAATGTTTCATGCAATTCAACAATATGAGCATGTTTGAGACTTGTACAAATACTTGCTTCACGTCTCAAATCTGAAAGAAAAGAATATAGAAGAGAATACTTTTTTTAAAAAATTTATTCGACAACTAAAAGCAACCAGTTCTAATTGAATATTCTTACCATCAGCTGAAAATCCGGGTGTCGATATAAAATGCTCAACGTCAATAATTTTAACTGCATACTGTTTATCAGTTTGTTTATTTATACATCGTCGAACAACGCTAAATGGACCTCTAGAAGCAACAGAAACATAATAAATTTTTCGAAAATTTCATCATAGAACTATTTGACTGACTTTCCAATAATTTCATACAAATCATACAAGTCAGAAAATCGAATTTGATCTCGATTAGTATCATCACCATTCGTCTCGTTTGTTATATGCATATTTGAAGTTTATGAGAGAAGATTGCTTAAATATAGACATTCAAGCTAAAATTGACTAAAAAAATAGAAAATATTAGAAAAAAATACGAGATTCATTCAAAATAAAAACTGACCAAAACTTTAATTTTAATTCGAAAAACAATCACAGTCCATGACTTTAGAAATATATATCTAAAAAACTAAATAAACAAAAATGTAAGCAGAATCGGGACTAGAAGTACAAACGCGTACAAAATTCTATCATAGCCATTATAATAGAGTAGAAGACAATTCTACATTAATAATTGATTTGTACCAAAATTGTTAGTACAGAGCCGTTAAACTTTATCTATGCTAAACTTTTATTTTTGATTATTTACTATAGACGACAATTCTTAATCTTAAATTAGATCAACCTCTCTTAAAATCTCTTCCTCAGATCAAGCATATTCCTAGAAGTTCAATAAAATCTGTTGACTATTAAACTTTAGAATTCGATATGAGCAGTTTTTTTCATTTTTGAGAAATTCTAAAACGAAATGTTTTGTCTATTTATATCCTTGGTTAATACATCTGTTCTACTGACCATGTTTGAATGAGTAAAGACGACATGGTATTTTTTCAATCACAGTTCGTTGAACATAAAGATTAAGGGTTTAGTTTATCTAATCAGATTATTTTTCTTCACTGAGATATAATAATTAATGCTAAGAAACTTTACTATATTTTTGTCCTATAATCTAGATGGAGATACATCAGAAGCAAGAATTAGACCCAAAACTCCACAATCAACGTGATTTGTTATTTTTATTTTTTAGGCTGATTACAACAATTTGCTCTTAGTATTTTTTGGTTCTTAATATATCTTAACGGATAATCTAGCAGCACTTAACTGTCCATTTAAGTTCCACAAAACTTGATCCTTCAGTAGTCTATTTTGTATATGAATTTCGAAATAGTCAAAAAGACCATCAACATTAGTTCAAACAGCAAATTCTACTTTTAATCTAGCTTAATTAGTTTAATCAATCCTTTTTTTAACAAGAGAAATATTAAAAACACAGAAATAGAGGTCATAATTAGTCGGTGTCATTATGGTGTTATCAGAAGAGAATATATAGAATAATTTCTATTCATTTCTGATTGGTCAGTCCATCAGTTCTCGTCAAGTGTTATTTGGTATGATTAGTGGAACAAGCGAGAGGTGCTAAACTATTTTAGTTCAGCATACTGCGATCACATTTTTCGGCTCATAACCAAACTTTTCTCATGAACAGATACTGTATCGTGTTATATTTTGATATTTCATTTGATATTTTTTCTACAACAATATTACAAAAATTATTGGGTAAAATAAAGTTGTCCAATAGTCTGTCTTACGACAAACATCAAAGCAAAAATGCGTTTTTAAACATCATTAAGTCGTTTCTTATAGATTTTTCCCACAAATAATTTTGCTTGTTAGGGTGAATGATTTCTAAATTGTTTTAGCAAATTTGACTTTCACAATTCTTAGAATTCTTGAAAGATCAGTCATCAGACATTGACACTAGCGCACTCCTTGCTCCAAGACAATGAAGCCGGTTTCTTCTTCAAGTTCGTCTTCTTACTTCATTTCTCTTGAGAACCATAAGAACTGTTAAGTTTCTATGATTTTTTTATGCAATTAATGCGTGTTTTGTACCGCCATCTATCGCTGAATCCTGATTTACATTCTTATGAAATGCATACCGCATTATTAACTTGTCACATCATCTGTATTTTACGATTTCACATAGTCAGTATGATCAAAGGTGGATCGATCATGTGTTTTCAAGAGAATAATCGAGAATAGAAAGAGGAATCAGTATAGAAATATTTGTTGATCTCAAAAGAAGAAAACTGAACAACACTCATTCTCACATAATCATCTGCAGTCAGCTGATTTTGTCTTGTGTATGTACTCTGTGAATAAAAGTATCAAAATAATCAATGATCATGAAGTTTTAGTAACTCGTTTCGTACTGTGTATAACCTGAAAGTTCATCAAGGTCTAGAGTGTTTTTGTTTGTTTAACGTTCAAGATTAATTTTTGTTGAATCCTAATTTTTTTTTTAGATATTATTGCATTTAACTCATTTTGTCCTCTTTTCTTCTTCTATTAATAATATTCTGCTGTGACCGATTGTTTAAGTCTAAAAAAAAATAATTCTCAAAAATGTGTTCGCCGAGTCCGGGAAAACGTCGAATGGATACAGATGTTATTAAACTGTAACCAGTTGTTTTTTTGTTGATTTAGCCCTATTTGTAATCTTGTTTTTTTGCTTAGAATTGAAAGTAAACACGAAGTTACATTAATGAGTGGTTTAAATGAGTTTATGGTTAAGTTTCCTGGACCACGAGAAAGTAAGTTTTTTGTGTTAGAGATGTCTTATTGGGTTAGATCAGTTCAGAAGTCAGCGACTTTCTGTGTAAGAACCCGTCATAAATGAAGTATTAAAAGATGTTTCTGTACTATACCTATTTTAGCACCATATGAAGGTGGAGTATGGAATATTCGTGTTGATTTACCCGATAAATATCCATTTAAATCTCCATCTATTGGTATATGTCTGTTGTATTGTTTGTCTTTGGTTTAAGCACATGCGTTTTCTTCATCGTAGGGTTTATGAATCGGATATATCATCCAAATATTGATGAAATGTAAGCAATAAATGATACGTAATCGACTCTCTTCGAATATTGCTTCCAAATGCTTTGTTTTACTTAACTTATTTGAAAGTTGCTTCGAACATTCACTGAACTCAATCCGCGTCTTTTTTATTGCTTTCCTTTCCTTAATCGTCGTTTCGGAGCTTGATTAAATAATTTACATGTGTTCAAAAAAACATAATTCTTTCTTTCCCTTACGACTGGAGTGCTGCGCGTTACTGCTGGATAAATACATTTCCTCTTTTGTTTAGTTTTCGTTCACTGACGTGTACTCGTTTGTTGTGTTAGCATTTCATACTGTATTAAGAAAATCAGCGTCTGATGCTACTTCCAGAAAACGAGTAGTTTTTGCGGCATGTATTCGAAATGTCGTCCTTTTTCTCTAAATCAAATTAAAAGGAAGCTGTAAACATAATTAGATTTGTACTATTTTTTTAAATGAGAGTGATGTTGTTCACGTGAGAGGTTGTTTTGTGGAAACATTGTTTAGATGTAGCAAGGTTTCTTTCATGCAACTAATAAGGACTAATGACCAGGGTGAATTATGTATGTCAATATCATCTTATTTCATTCCAGGTCAGGAACAGTATGTCTTGACGTCATTAACCAGACATGGACACCAATGTATGGTGAGTAAGAAAAAAGTCAACTTATTTGTTTGTTTTTAACCTATTTTGTTCATTTGTTCAGATTTAGCAAATATATTTGAATCATTTTTGCCACAATTACTTGCCTATCCGAATCCAGTTGATCCACTCAATGGAGATGCTGCCGCGCTTTATTTACATAAACCAGATGATTATAAAAAGAAAGTGAAAGGTATGTTTCTCAAGTTGTTTTCGTCAATCATGAACCTGTGTTATTGTTGTTAATAACAGAAAAGGCAGAGTCACCATGAGAGAAAAAGCATCACAACAGTCTATTACATGTATTGGGGGTATTTAAAAGTGACTCAGAACGATATTAGCATATTTCTAGTCGCCTGTATCAATGCTAATGCCTATACTGCACATATTTAATGAGAAAGCTTTTATATTGTTTTAAAAATGAACCACTTATTTGTCATATCAGCCCTAAACATGGATGAAACCGGACCCGAGGCTAAAAAACCTTAGTTCGTCCCATGTCTAATAATCCATGGAGTAGAAACACGGCCTTCGAAATGCGTCGCGCTAGAAGAATATCGGCTGCTTGATTCTAACCATTACTAGAAACCTACAGGCAAGGGCGAGTCCGCACTGGAAGATTTTTGGCGGACTCTGACTGGAGATTTTTTTTTGAAGGACTCGGACTCGGAGTTTTTGTATTTCGAGTCCGATCTATTCAACTTTTAACACAAATGAACAGATAAAAATGAAAAACGAAATAACAACACCTTCTATTTCACAAGAAACTGAAAATTTTGTTCGGACATGCAAAGTAATCTTATTTTCGAAAAATCAAATATCTATCCCGGGCTCAGTAAATTAAAAAAGAGAAATAAGCCGCACTCATCAAAAAAGAATCTAAACGATTACTGGACTCGAAATGGACTCGGACTCGCCCATACCTGGAAGCCTACTATAAAGCCAGTACAAGACTACCACTGCAGTAGGAAAAATGTAGTGTAATAATGTTTTTTCTTTCTTCGGAGAGTCAGATTAGATAAAATTTAAGTGGTCACTGGTTCTTTTCATTTTCTTTTGTTATTCCTCTTTGAAAACGTATTTATTTGTTGATTATTTTTTGTTTTCTTTTAGAATATGTTCAACGATTTGCTTCAGCTGATGTTCTTGATGGCTATTCTAAAAAAGAATCATCTTCAGATTTAAATGATCCAGATCGTGTCTCAGATGAAGAAATATCATTATCAGATTTCTCAGAAAATGAAGCTGATCATATGGAAATATCATAATATTAATCATATTTCATTCTCTCTTTTTATTTATCTCTCTCTATTTTTTGAATAAACATAACACTTTTTCTTTTCTTCCGCTTGCGACGATGTTTTCATTTTCTATACATATTTTCTTTTTTGTGTTAAAATGCCTTTCAAGAACATTTTTCGTCGTGTTTTTGTGTTAAAATTGAGTTTAGTTTATTAGAAAAAGTCTTCTGGAGGATAAGAATCAATGTCATAGGCGTGTGTGCCCACCAATGTTTTGTTTGTTTTCCGCGCGCGCTTTGTAAATAGATAATAGTTGTGAGTGTGGTGTGTATGGTGCCATCTCTCTTCCTTTCCTCTTAACAGTATTAGTCTTATTCTTATATCTCTAAAACGTTCTTGCACTTTAATTTATTAATTGGTTATCTGTGTGAGCTCTCACTCTCAGGTTCCTGTGTTGAACAGTTTTTTCTCTTCGATTTTGCTTTACCGCTGCACACACATTTGAGATGGTTCAATTTTTTTCTCTTGTCCTATTTTATGAAGTGCGTGTGTGCGATTTTTTTTCTTTTATCTCTTGTTTTCCGCGATATAGTACATATAGGAATATATACATAGAACATTGCGTATTTATATAAAAAAACAACAATGACATTTTTTTTTCTTTTTTATGTTGCTTTTTATTAACTGTTTTTGTTCTTCTATACCTTGTACTTTACCCATAAAAAGCAACAGCATCTACAAATTAAAAATACAAATATATATTCTGTAGAAATTGAATTATAAGCAATAATTTTTTTTTAATCTAACAGTGTCTTTGAGGAGTTCAAATAGCAGTTGATTATCGGTTTCTGTTGAAAAAAAGTTAGAATGTATTTTAATTGTAAAGAAAAGATCGATATTTTATCAGAAAATTTAGCTTTAACCTTGATCAATCAATTTTGCATGCACAACATCGCCTCAAATACGATCGAGACGTTTTTCATGACAATACTTGTATTGTATGTTGATATAAACTTGTAATCAGTATCTTAGAGTCAGATCAATCGTTGCAAGGATGCAACTTACTACTCATTTTCTTCAGTTAATAAGTTTAGGTAAAAGGAAACTAATATAAAGAAGCGCTGACAATCATAAACACGATTTTTTCCAATAAATTATATGCAATCTGTGTGCGTTCTGAAAAATGAATGATAATTGTTCAACCTTTGTGTCAAAAAAACAACTAATAGTTCATTATAGATAAAAGCATATCCTCTAATATAACAATATAAAATAATAGAGGTCAACCTTTGATAAGTGTCCACGAAAGATTGATAGGGAGCACATGTCCTTTATAACAGCGTATAAATAATGATTATAAAGATGAGACGTGTGAACAAGTTTACTATTATTGATGTGCAGGTTGCGTTGTTTCTGTGAATTATGACTTTCTCCGATTAATAAACAACAAAAGATTTATGAAAGAAAAAATATGTGATTTAATCAATTTAATTAGTTTTTTATTATGCTCGTTTATACTGAATCTTGCATTAGAGTGCGGCACTGATCAGTAAAACATGCGGCATTGTCCCGTCACTTTTCTTAGGCGTAGGAAAAGATAAAATCAGAAAGACATTTGAAATATTAGAAGTAGACTGTGGTGTTAATATAGACAGAAATTGACAAAACAGAACTTCGGCACTCGTGCGCATCGGGGCGAGACTTTTACATTCCTCCTTCTTCAGCCTAGAAAAAAATTATTCGGCACTGATGTGCATCCGTGCACAACCAGTGCCGATAAAATATTTTTTTGTCTCGCTGTTTGTGAATACTTGTAAAATGCTGGCTCGAGTGGTTTTGAATAGAATTCAAAATGTGCTAGATAAGAAATTACTTGAAGAATAAGCTGAATTTCGAAGTACCTGATGAACAATAGATCATATATTTAAGAAATACCACACTATCCTATGATAGGAACCACATGAGTGCTATAGAACTACGCCTTTAGGACTGAATGAGAACAGTAAAAAAAGGACTGCGCATGACAAAAAGTTCATGAAACCACTGACACATCATGCGCATTTTCGTATGTCGAATTCATCTATGCTCAGGCGTCAGCACATGAGAAAAAATTGCAAGCAGCCAAAAAATGTCACATGCGCATGAAATGCTAAGCAATGCGGAGATGCGGATCAACAAAATAGTTTCACTAGAGTTCCAACCGACTTAATTTGACAATTGATCCAAACGTTAGCTACATATGTGTGCATTTCAGCGTTATTCATATGAGGTTTGTTGGCAAAATCCAGTGATATGTATGCATCCAAACACCAAATCCAATAATTAAAGGATGTAAACAAATACAAACGTTATGTAAAACACAATCTCAAGTAGCGGCGCCGTCAGGAATTTAGACTAGGGCGGACTCAGGCCTCCTGAATTTGACCAGGGTGGGCTCGGCCTCACTGAATTTTGTAATGTAGTCCAGAAAATTTTTTTCTGGGTGGACTGAGCCCACCTGTGGCGCCGCCACTACTCTCAAGGTTTTTTTTACAATAGGAGATAAATTATATCTACATCATCCTGAATTACAAACACAAAAATCAAAACATAGTAAATCCGAGGATCATATGGAAACTGATTCAACATATGAACCATCTATCCCGAATGCTGATTTCTAAGACATTCAACATGTAATGGGAAAACTACGGCGGTTAGCACCAGAATTAAATATTTCACCACTAGAATATTTCATTCACAAGTAAAAAGTCTTCTGAAACACTCTTCATCTGTACCACTGATATCTTTAGAATAATAGAGTTAGAGTGGTCTTAATTCTAGCTACGCAACCATATCTTGTTTTAACAGAATTTTTACTGGAGAGCAGTACTCTTTGATGTAAAGAAAGTATCTCTGAACATTAGATCTCTCTTCTACAATTATTCTGTTGGTGTTAGAAAGCGATATAATGTGTCATTTTGTAGAAAAAATTCTGCTTGACATAAACCATATTTTAACTCAACTCAAATGTCATCCGGTACCGTGGGACACATACGAAAACTATGAATAGTCGCATTATGCGAATTGAATTCCAGAATCCCTCACCAGAGCTTTTTCAGAATTTTCTTTTTTGATTTCAAAAAAGGTTTTCTCTGAGCCGTTATTTACAAGTACCCCTGTACAGGAGTAGAGTGATGTTAATTAAGGATAATTACCACTAATTAGTTATTAGTAGGAAAGAAAGTGCATATTTTCTGGCAGTAAATATTCACTACAAATTTCGCTATCTGCTTATCCTAAGAGCAAAGTTTTCGCGATGAAAGAGGAATGACCAGAAAGTTTCTTCATAGCAATAGTACGCAATAGAGATCGAAACGGGTCGGGTTCGCATCAAGCACTCCTGACCCGATTCGGTCTTTGGTATGCAAACAGCATTCATTGATTTCTTTTTGTAATTGGTTACCATTACGTCTGGTAACCTAAGAAATAAATAGAGACATAGATTGTTGACCCTGCTGAGGATCGTGGCAACATTTATTTTTTACCTAAAAAATTTTAACCTAGCAAAAACTGGAACTAGACGAAATTACTTATTTTTTGTCATATTTCACTTGAAAGTCATTCATATGATGTCAAAACTTCAACATAAGATCAGTCTGACATGCTGGAAAAGGGTTGGCTTTACGGTGGTTTGCCCCCTGTAACGGGTGTTCTATAAAGACTGGCTCTATCTTCTAAATATCTCTGTCAAGGTTGATCGGCAAGTCTCAATCTTTTTTTAAAATATTCCTCATCCAATTCTCTACACAAAGCATATTGAACATTTCTTTATACGCTATAAAAATAAAAAAATATAGAGGAAATATGGGAAAGCGTCAATGTTGATTACCTTCAAACCCAAAAAAAAGATTTTTCAATTTCAGTCGCTTATATTTTGTGATACTTAAAAAAGAGAAAATGGCCATTTTGTAGTTCTCGAAAAGTTATATAAACTGGTTATATTTAAGACTCTTCATAGGCATAGACTCAAGCAGTCGCAGGAGAATTTTTTTCTTTTAGTGATTGTGCCCGAATCATCATTTTCTAATTACAGTTTTGAGGCACTTAGGAAAATTTGTATGATTTGGGCAAAATCGGACGTTATGATGTCGGATCTGGTTTATCGTAAAGTAAAATAATTCTTCTATTACATCTGAACAGAGAAAGTCGAATAGTCCGATTTTGTTTCCTGTACCAAGGCGCAGAAGTCAAGTTTTCCTTTTTTTTGTGCTTTTAGTAAAATCTTCGTTCGGTGGTGAAAAAAAAGGTTTGTAGTGAACTTATGATATAAGAAAAGAAAGGTGGCATTCTGGAGCACCAGAAAATACATCCGATTCCGCTCTGATACATAGCACCGTGTTCAAGTTAAATATTTTTTGGTTGCGCCTTGGGTTTGAAAATAATCGATATTGAAGCTTTCCCATATTTCCTCTATATTTTTTTATTCTTATAGCATATAAGGAAATGTTCAATATGTTTTGTATAGAGAATTGGATGAGGAATATTTTAAAAAAAGATTGAGACTTGCCGATCAACCTTGACAGAGATATTTAGAAAATAGAACCATTCTTTATGGAACACCTATTAGATTTTCCTTAAATTTTCCCAGTTATTAGAGGACTCTACGAGGTATATGCTCGGAAGTTTTTGCTTTCACGTTAGTCGAGGAACCAGGCATAATCCCCCTGCGCTGTATTACAGATATCTGTCTGCGTCCACTAACTCCTTGTAAAAAAGAAGATCAGTGGGATTTAACGTGCGATTCGGTTTGTTGAATCAGCACACTCCACGATAGAACCTGAAAAACAAGGATACTATCAGTTTCAGGTATGACTAAATGACAAAAAAATAAAATGTGAGAATTGTCATATTTATCTCTGTGCAAAGAAAACTCAATATTTCGAAAAGTTTCAGGTAAAAGTTCTTAAATAACTGAATATTTTATCTCTTTTTATTTCACTAATTGATCTATGTGTATTTTTCGCGGTACACATTGCATGAAAATATATGAATTCGCTAAAGTTTGAAAGTTCAGCAATAAATTCAGTATTTGTTGAGACATTTAGAAATAAGAAAAAGGAATTTCATGCTAATTCCGGTTTCGTATGTGATACGAAAGGGTTACAGAACGGGGTTCTTTTTAAAAAACTTCTTGATCTTTCCTCTTTCACTCGTTTTTCTTTCAGTGTTCAATATAAGTTCATGGTAACAAAAAGAAAAAAAGAAAAGTGAATGATTAGTGTAGAAAAATAAACAAAAACAAAAAACAAGCGAATATATATATATATATATATATAGCTGAATGCTTTTTAATGCAAACTATCATGATTACAGATCGTAATCGAAAGCTTTGAGTTTTTTGAAAATGAGACAAGAGCTTATCTAGATAAATATGAAGTATTAGGAATAAAATTACTAACAGAAATAACACATAATCATTTAAGTTCCATCAAAATTGAACATTTAATGGATTTTCTTTTTTGTAACAACCTGTTGTGTCGGAAAACTAGAATATAAGAGTGGAGAAAAACAACATGTTGCCAAAGCAATTCTAACAGCTTCAGTTACATTTTGATGTACAACAATTTATGAACCAACATCATTCACTTCATTATTGGATTCCGGTTTATATTGTACGTTGAAATCCATAAAAACCAGCTACTCAAAAGTTTTTAGTGGTCTGAGCAAAGATATAGCTTTGCTGGAAGTTTCATCGAAAAATATAGCATCATTGTGAAGAAATCTCAGTTTTACTGAATTTTTCAGCTAAAAAGCGCAACATATAACAACACGTATGTATCGGGAAAGGAACGTTTTTAACACGTTTTAGTTTTATCCTTTTCAGGTTTTTTTGTAAAGGTCCAGAAAAACTGACAGTGAATAACCAGTTAACTAGTATTTAACAAACGCTCTTAAAATGAGCATTGAAATAGCTGCAAACAGCATAAAAATACAGAAATAACGGTTTCATTCCCTGCTTATTTTTAGACCGTTAATTGAACAGTCTGAAAACGGACACTTTATGGTCAGGCTCAAAAAATGAGCATTTAACGCTTTCATTAACTGCCCGTTCTTTAAATTGATCATACATTGCTAGTTCACGGTATGAAGCGGACGTGAAAACGGCTTGCTAATGATGTTGCTTCTTTAGCAACGCTATTTTTTTGTCTTAGATCGACAATATATAGAACAGAGAAAATGTTAAGATAAAGAAAAAAATTTTCTTCCATTTCCAGGGAGACTCGGGGTCCATCAGACTCATTGCTGAAACTGTAACTCCAGCTGTTAAACATTTCTGTAGTAATAAATAAAGTCGAATTATAAGTTTAAAAATCGGAAATGATCTTAGAATGGCCTAAAAATGGTCAAAAAATGATCTTCAAACGACTACCATTAACTAGTCGTTTTATACCATGAAAAAAATGATCACCTCTAGGATAAATCGTTCAGATGATCAAAAAATGGTTAAAAAACGGCCGCTGGTACTATTTAGTATGGGTTAGTGAATCTGTAACAGCCAGGTGTTTGTTTTCTTTTTTTTTCGGTGACCACATGTATATGGATCCGCTTTTGTGGCTTGTATTTTTGGATTTTCTACTCTTATATCAATAAACAAGGTTAAATCAAACGGTCTCAACGGTAAAAGAATAGTCATTTAAAGACCATTTAACTCGTTTTCAAAGAGTCATTAACTTCGCCGTTTCGGGGTTTATTTTTAATTGAATAGTAGTAGTGTATGATGTATAATATACTGCTCATGATTCTAAGATCGTAATTTATCCTCTCTGATGTTAATTCCATCTTTCGTATTTCAATCAATGTAATCAATTTAGAATTACGCGCTAGTATTTTTTCACCCTTTATTTACTAATTATATATCATCAAAAATGAGCGATGTACTGAAAACGGTTGAAAATTCTAAAATGTGTGTATTTTTTGTCGCTGGATGTACATATGAATTAGAAAAGGCAAAATTAGAAGTTCATCCAACATTAGTTTTCAATAATGAACAACTTATGAGAAAATATTTTGATCCTAGACGTTCTGTTTATATTTTATCAAGAAATCGTGCTTTCTTTGAAGTTTTAGTTTTTTACATCAATCACGGGATTTTAACGCGACCGCTCGATATTCCATTAGAATTGTATGTCGATGAAATGAATTATTATTTTGAAGATAAACAATTTCTGAAAAGAATGTTGACATTACACGATATTCCAGAAACAATCGAAACAGTCGAAGTTCGATATTTACCCACGGTGAGATTTTTAATTCCACATTAAATTAACAAATTTTGTTTCAATTTAATAAAATATTTGCCTGTTTCTATTAGGTTCAATCCAAATGTTTAATATGGCGTGCAATGGAGTATAATGAAACGGTTTACGGTACTTTGTATCATTTTATCTTTGGTTCAATTTGTTTAACATCGATATGGCTATTTCTAAACGAAATTATGCATAATCGTTCATCTGATTATGTATCCTATATGCTCCGGTATCGTGGTGGGATGAATGCAACAATGGAAATGTTTGTTAATGTATCTTATATTGACTATCGACCTATAACCAAATGGAGTAATAAAAAAGATGGCATATCATTATTTTTTTATTTAGAGATTATGTTTGCCATACTGTGGACAGTTGAACTAACCTTACGGTGAATATATTTTGGATTTTGGATTCACGTCAAGTTCTGCTTTATTTTTCAGATGGATAGCAGCACCCACTTATAGACTAGTCATCAATACACCACTTTTTTGGATTGATGTTTTGACAATATCAAATTCATATTTATTTCTTCTTCTGGGAGGAATTATGTATCGTAATTCTTCGTTAAAAGCAGCTAACGTACAGAAGGTCATGTATATATTCCAAACAATTGATATATTAAAAACGCTGAGAATAATTAAACTTGGAAGATATCATAGTTATATGAAACAATTAGTCGATTCATTGAGTAAGAATAAAACAGTCTACGGTTAGCATCTTTCATCCACAGTGCTGTGTCGTACAACTCTTAGGCGGAACAATGGTTGATTTTTCTACATTAATTATTGTCGTAGTCGGTACATCAAGTGTATTCGGTACTCTACTCTATGTTATCGAACGTTCAATCAATCCAAGTTCAATAATTCTATTTCCAGAAGTTGGTCAATCAATTTATTATACTTTATTGGCTATCTCAAATGTGGGATTTGAACAATTTCTTCCATCTACCTACATTGGAAAATGGATTGCATGTTTAGCTATCACTATAGGCTTATTTACGATGGTGCTACCATTCCCCATGATTTTATCACCTTACACAAAATTATTAGTTTCTAAAAAAAAACGAATTGTTTATCAAGATATAAGAGGTAATGAATTACAGAAAGAAGATTAAAATTATAGAACATGCTAATGCCTATCATTCAAATCCAAATATTCCACAAGGAAACAATAAAATGAAAAAGAACAGTTTTATGAGAGAGAAGTTCGTATTTAGATGAGGCTTATCGAAATTCAAGTTTTCCTCCATAAAAAATATCTTATTCGTATTAAATGATCTTTTAAAATCAAAACTACAGTACATATTTTTTGCAATGACAATAGAGACTAATCACTTCATTCATCATCTGACTACAACTCTGGTTAAGTAACAATTTCACTCGATATTTCAAATATCATCATTTTAAACAACCAATTAGCAGGTTGGTCGTAAACATCAATATTAACAGTTATTTGTAGTTCGAGTTGGTGAAAATGTTATTATTGTATCCACTATCAATGTTCGATATTGAACTGACTTCGGATTTTGTTGTTCTTGTGGATCATTCAAACGAAATATTACTAAACTGTTAAGAAACACGAAATGTTATTGATCAGCGACAGAGTCCTGAAGTTTCTGTCGTTCCATAGACAAGATTTCTGAAGCATCTCCCTAAAGAAAACCTTCGTCCTCCATTTGAGATTTTGTGAAATTGTTTCTAATAATTCAAGGGCTTGCAGTTTATATCTGGAAATATATGAGCTTTTGTCGATTTTTTACCCATCCACACACTTTTTACGAACAGATAAATTGGTCACGTGGCATCTCATCACTTATTGCCGATTGTTTTTTCGTTAATTGTTCGTCCTTACTGTTTAACATACCTATTTACTACGATTGTTTTAACCATTTTTATTTTGATAGAAGCATCGCCACTGTACTACGATTTTTCTGTATTGTTCACATGACTGACAATGTTAATTTTTTCGACCTATCTATAAAAAAAATTTCGGTGTAGCACGTTCGGTTATAGTATGTCGAAGCTAATTCTTTGTCAAGAGCTTTCCGTCAAGATTCAGTGAATCATAATGAACGTTACTTGTTATAATAATGAATAACGAAAGATCGAGTAAATTACTCAAAGACTGTTTACACTTTCACACTTGTGTTTACACGCACAAAAAATATTGACGAAAAATCCGTGTATTGCAGTTGTACGGTTAAATATAGTAAATGAATTTTACAATAAAGCTACGAGTTACTCATCTAAACAAGCAGGTTAGTTTATTCTGTTTAAAACTTTACTTTTTGCGACGATCGGCCTCTAAGTCAGCGAAGCATGAAAGAAAACTAAAGATTTTAAAAAATTTGACGAAGAAAATTTTGTTTGACAGCTCACTTCAATGGATTTTTGTTAACATATCTCAAGAGCAGTATACTGTTTAAAAAACAAGTGCCGTTGAAAAGAAGACCTTGGATATACATTCGTCTACATGCTGTAAAGCTATCATGACCCGAAGAGAAAGCCAGAAAGTCATGTTGGCTAAAAACTCCAAGAAATGATTTCGCTTGTAAATTGGCATAGAAAGTATATTTTCGTCCGATAATCAGCTCCGATATTGACAGCTTTGTATCTCAAAAAGTAGACTGTACCCTTTTCTAAAAAATAGCTCAGCATAGAGTACAACTTGTGTTATACTCTGACTGGTAGACTGGTACAAGAAAACGGAGAAGGATACATTCTAGTTAATTTTATTTTAATCTGTTAAGTTGGCAGAATACGGAGTGATTTCATAGTGAGTGCAGTAAACATTTGAGTGAAAATATAAAATTCATCCTTTTCTCACTTTCTTCGCTTCGATATCCATCTCCACTGGTCGACGTTTTTGTGGATATTCTTGCAAGATTCTTGTCTCTTGCCATTTCACACAAGAATCCTCAATTTTGTCTTGATAGATCAGACATGATTCTTCTTTTAATTCTTTACTGATTTTTCATCTTTTTTCGTTAAAGATTCTTGTCTGAAGTGGCAAGATTTGTTGACGACAAAATCACCAATTTGTTTTGTTACAAGACAAGATTCTTGCAGGAAAAAATGAGACAAGTATCTTGCAGGAAATCGGTTTCTTGTGCATTCAGACAGGAATCCGAACTCACAAGAATATGAACTCACAAGAAAGCGATTTCCTGCAAGATTCTTGTGATAAAAATACATGTAAAATATTTTACAAGATACTTGTCTGAAATGCCAAGAAACAAGAATCTTGCAAGAATACCGACAAGAACGTCGACCAGTGTCTACATGCGTATAGAACGGGAACAAAATCAACAGAAGAAAAATGATACTTCAAGCAGAACGAAAGAAAAGCGACATTTTTTGAAGTTGAACGATGAACTATACCGTTGAATACAGTGGAAATCTAAGTAGAGCTCCTGAGACCCCAAAATTGCGTGTATCCAACGAGATCTTTGCTCCGTACAACGTAACTCATCGCGCAGATTCCGAATATGTAAAAATCTCAGTGATCGCTTTTGTAGGAAAAAAATCATAAAAATATTGATATGCGCCAGCATTTCAAGCATTGAAAGTACAAGAAATAATCGACAGATGCGAGATTTATGTTTGTTAAAGTCTGTCACAACTATTCTCCCGCATCATTGTTCAAGCAGGTACTCTTCGTCGTCATCATTATTAATAAACCTGGCCTCTCGCACATAATGGCATCATTTATGATATCATTATTAATAGATAAATTCGATGGTGGTTCTTTGGTAATAGAAATGGTAGAATTGATATCCCATTTAATTTATTCTACAGTCAAACAAAGTGTGTCTCAGTAGATTAATTCGTTTCATTGGATGGATTGGATAAATTACGATTCGTGTTTTGGACTGATTGGGTTCCGCACATTTGTTGAATTGCGAACGTGTTCTTCCGCCGCGGTTTTGTACACATGAAAATGGCTGGAAAGAATATTCTTGTATTCATGAAAATTTCTTACCGGGATTTCTGTACGAGAAATAAAAAAATAGCTTTTTTCCGTGATCAAAACTGTAGAATAAATTAAACAAGATTAATTCTGCCAATTTTCCGGAATAAAATCTGTTTCTATCCTCTCCGCATTAACATAAGAAAAATGATGAATTGTTCATTCGAAAATAAATATTTGTTTAACATATTCTACATGAGTGTATCGAGTATATAGTTCTCTACTTATGTAGTTTTATATAGATTTTTGACGGTTTTCTTGAGAGTAGAGAATAATTAAAAAATAAGATATCAACCTATTTTCTTTTTACATCTGATGATATATATATGTATGTCTTGTGCATTAGTTCTCATGAAGTTTTATCGATGATGTTGCATTCATACACGTGATTGAGTACCCACACGGTGGATTGCAACATTTTTGATAGTGTGCAGAGTTTGCATCATTCCTTGCACAGCCAGTAATGTTAACATTTAATGCACTAACGCTTTATCTCAAAAACTTTCGGAAGACTTGGGATACTTAGGAAAAAAACTGCTGTATGTTTTAGTGAATACTTTTCTGTCCTTCATTGAAGGTAAGCTACCTGTAGCTCTATGCAGAAATTAATAGAAGATGAAATAAAAAAAATAGATACGGAGGGCAGACGTCTGATGCTGTCGTTTAGATAAATAAAATATAACAATTCTTATCCCGATGAGTAACCGTTATGTTTATAGTATCCATGCTTAGATCTTGTACTATTTTAGCGTGTATACTAATAATACCTGTAATTAGTAAGAAAACTTGTTGCATGAGTGAACACTAAAATAAATTAAGAATATAGAAAATTGTTAAATATATAAGTTGTCTTTTGTGAGAAACCCTATCTCAGGTTTATTATAGAAAAGGTGTAGGTTTATAATATAGGAAATTTGAGACTATTGCAAATACAAAGACGTACGTACATATATCATCAGCTATAAAAAAAGAAAATAGGTTGATAACTTATTTTTTAATTATTCTCGACTCTCAAGATAATCGTCAAACATCCATATAAAACTACATAAGTAGAGAACTGTATACTCGATACACTCATGTAGAATATGTTAAACAACATTTATTTTCGAATGAATAATTCATCATTTCTCTTATGCTAGTGCAGAAAAATCATTCATAAACAACAACCACGTATCAACTATACATTTAATGATCTTTTAAGTTACTCAATGTAATAAGTAGATTGTTTTGTTGCTTCTACATAAATAAAAAAATATTTTGCGTTTTTTTATTCATGTTCGATCAACAAAATGTATACGACAGAAAAATGAACGGTCATAGAGAAAATCATGTCATCAAAAAAATGCGTAGAAAATATGCATCCTCATGTTGAATAATATAAAGTAGATGGATAAAAATAAATTCTGATAGTGTAATCAATTAAGCTCAACTCAGTTTCTATTATCTTCGTGGTATTTGTACGAATCTTAGTTGATGATTTCTGTGTGGTAATGCATATCACAGTAACATTTATCCAATTTATTAATATAATAGTTCATTCGGCGCTAGAAAATTAGGTATACAAAATCGTTTGAAATTGATTTCGCTTATTTGGTTCTGATTTATGTTCAATATCGAGCTACAAATAATTATTTTTATCGGTGCTGAAAGTAAAATTTTAATGAAGTGATTAATTAGTTTAATCGAACGTTTTCCCCGATAAAGTAAAAGATTCGGGACTTCTAATTTATTGTGAAATCTAAAGGTTTTAGAGAGATTTGGATGTTCGGTACTAGTTTTTGAATTTTTTATTACATTTATAATAAATTTATGTCGATGTTGCTACCATCATATAGACAATTTAATGATTTTGTGTTTTTGTGTTCTACACAAAATATATCAAAGCTTGATCAAGTTTATACGGAACTTTGGCATCTAAATCACTTGAATCGTTGCGAAACAAATCATTGATTTCCGGCAAAAATGTAATGTTTGAAAGAGTACATACGATTTTGCCAACTTTCTCTTCCTGCTCCAAAACACTTGCCTGACGAGTCAAATTCTAAAAAGCGATCTTCTATAGCGTTTTTCACTTCCTAGACACGGCAAAAAGTGTTTGTTAGACCAAAATCAGTATTGTTGTTACTAAACTTTTATATACACGCACGTACACTTTATCACATGGCTCTTCTTCAAATAAACAGAGTGCTTCAAACCATAGTTTGTTTAATTCTATGCAACTTTGTCATTTTTTTTAAATATAATTTCTAATAATAATGTTTTTTATCCGAGCAGAAGACCATGATCTCCTATTTGACTTTCATCAAATTGACAACGATCGTTTAATGAGAAAGCAGATTTATGCTGTAGATAGTATCTTATTATAGCCAAATCAAAGCAAATAATTTCAGAACACATACAATCTATTTTTAAAATTTAAAATTGAATTATTGATGAAGTACTACAAATGAAAAAAGGATTTTTTATAGCTTATTTTAGTCTAAAGAATTACTATACTTCAATTGCATAGTTTGCTTAAATTGAAAACAATGTTTTTACTTTAACCGAGTACTATGAGATGAGAAAAATTTAACAACATGTTGACATCGATATGTGTGTGATGTATTTTTCACACGAATGATACCATAATAACAATGACCGAGATATCCTCCGGGAAAACATTCTATGTATATGTTTGACACTCATACTCTTTTTACACAATAGATTGATTGAATGCGTATTGAGTAAGAGGAAAATCTTTTTTTTTCTTTTGAACAAAAAAAAAAAAAAAAAACGTTCATCATTGTCACATACACATAAAAAATTTCTCTCTAGTCATTACTGCTGCTTGGTCTATTTTCAGAATGTGACGCTTGTCGTTTCTAATTTTCTTTTCTCATTCTGTTCGAGATTGCGAAAGTGAATGTCGTGAAAAGTTAATAGACGCACAGATTTTGATTCATTACGTCGTTTTTTTTTCTTCTAATATGGAACAATTGGCGTCTCATTATGAAATAAATGATTGTTTAAACAAACTAATTGCACTTGTACCACAAATACGTCAAAGTCCAAATTCATTATCAGAATTACAATTTTTGCAATATATCGTAGATTATATTAGTTTTTTAAATTTACAATTGAATAATGAATATTCACAATATAATGTTAATATTTCATCCATTCGTCGTTATTCAAGAACACCACTTTCACCGATAAATCCAGAATGTTATAATAGTTTAGATATCGTAAGTAGATTCATTAGATATAAAAATGTTGTTTGATAAAATAAAACTTAATTAATCGGTGAAAGACATGTTACTTGATCAATACCAACTATTTCTGCTTTCTATAGAGAAGATTTTAGATTTCTATTTCCATTAACCTAAATATAATTACAATAGAATTATAATATTTTATCTACTTGTCTGAGTTTTTCTTGTTTTTGTATACTTTAGTGTACAAGAATTGAAAATTTGATTAATAATCCATAATGTTGGTTTGTTCTTCTCGGCTTTCAATTGAACATATCATTATCATCGAATAATCAACAACTAAAAGCGGGTTTTAACATTTGAATATTAGCATAATAAAATATGTTTCATATCGTTCTTATATATTTTTTTTTATCATTCTGACTTATTTTTTGTTTTTCATTCTTTTATCACAGATAATAAAACTAGAAAAGAAAAAAGATATTTCCATTAACTATGTGCTATTGTTGAGTTTAAAACTAAAGAATAATTGTTGATAGTATTAGACAGTATGAAACAAGTAATTTTGCTAAACACCAATAGCTATAGGAAATAAAGCGAGCTTTAAAAATTTAAAAATTTTCAACAACAAAAAAAATAGTCTGTTCTCTTTATTATATGTGACATAATGAATTCACATATACAGAGAGTGAAGAAAAGAAAGTATAATATACAACAAAGAGATAAAAAAACAAAAGATTTCAAGCGATTACCGAAGTTCTTAAAACTGTAGATGAAGTTGATACTGAATAAACACTATGACTTTGTTGAAATGCCAATAGCCTAGCTAATAAGCTTGAAATAACACTTCCATCAGCATAAATAATACTGACATCTAAAATGTCATTAAATTAGTGATACAATAATATTGAAGAAAGAAAAGTGTCTCAACTTACTTGAATTACAAGTTGAAGGAAGTATATAAAGAAAATGGAATATTTCAGAATTTTCTTCATAGTGTACAAATGGTGTTGTTTTATTTAATATACTAGTAAAAGTTTTGACAACACGATCATGAAATATTTGAGCACATGTGCTTGTTGCACACGATTTACCACCCATCATTATGTGTAAATCACTGACTAGATGAGTATTTTGAGATACGGTATCATAGGAGCTAAAAAGAAAAAGAAAAAAGAATGATTACAAAAAAAACCACGTATGTGTACCAGGGGCGCCCCGATACCTCGGAGGCAGGGCGGGGGACAAAGTCAGTTTCGGAGTAAATTTTTATGCTTTTAAAAATTAGAATAAAAATAAAAAAACAAAGATAAATATGCTAAGCAGTTTTCTTCTAAAGCAAGACTGACTTTCCTTCTATCTAACTCTATATACTTCAGCACAAAGCAAATTAAAGTAACATTAAACTCTTGTACAAGTATAGTTAAATTGTTGTATTTTCAAAACTGTGTTTCACTAGGTAACCGTTACGTTACACTTATTCTGTAGAGAATTTTAGGGGCTATCCAGTGATATATTTATTTTGCCATCTACTTGAAAGAAACGAGAAAAACACATTTCACGTAATCTATAGGTGTTCATTGACGGATGAGCTATTGGCAGCGCTATTGTACATTGGAGACATGATGTCTCAAATAAAAATTGCGGTGGTACATCTTTGAAAATTTTTTTGCTGCAGGATGAGTTAGAACGAGAGAGTTGAGATACAAGTGAGCAGGATGATTACGAGTTGACATTGTTGGTCTTATATAATAATACATTTACTGAAGCCATGATACAGTCTATTCTACTTATCTTATCTTATTTATGTACATGGCAGAAATTTTATTCTCTATCAAACACAAAAAAAGAAAAAACAAATGCTATACTCTAAAAATGGAAGTGTATCTCTTACTCCGAAAATAGCAGTAAATATCTTACTTTTGAAACGAGAGTAAATTCCTAACTACGAAACTGAGAGTAAGCCTTTTGCTCTCAAAATGGAAATCAATGTCTTACTCCAAAATTGAGAGTAGACGTCTTACTCTGAAAGTAGGAATAAGCGCCTTACTTCGAAACTGAGAGTAAGTCTTTTATACTCTAAAAATGAGAATAATTGTCTTACTCTGAAAATACTAGTAAGCGCGTTACTCCGTAGGATATTCTCGTAAGTCAAAGGGCTAATTTTCGGAGTAAGAAAACCCTAATTTTGGAGTAAATTTTTTCAAAAAGCAGGGGGGGCTCTCCCATCCCTCCCCTTATCGGGGCGCCCCTGATGTTTACATACAATCTTCTTCGTCGTCTAGAATTTTCTGAATTGACTAAAGAACTGTTTAATGTTACAACGGAACCAGCCAAATATGAATCCGTTTGCATCATGGATGTAAGCTATTAAATACGAAAATACAAGATATATTTCTCTTGTAAAATAAATTTTTAAGATACCTACCGCTGCTTCTAAAGCGAAAGTATTGTTAGCTAGCAAAGTAATATTTAAATTTATTGGATTATGAATAAATGTTAAAACATAACCGAACACATCAACGTCTAAGAAATGATAAAAAAGAAATATATTGTACAATTTTATTAATAAAATTAGATTATGAAATATTTACTTGCTATTTGAATAAAACTTCCTTGTGAAGTTGTTTTTCCTCTTAGATAAAGTGGTATTAGAGATAGAACAATTACAATTACAAGAATTAAACCAATTAGAAATAGTCCAGCTAAAATTGTTCCACTTTTCGAATAAACTTCAATACGTCTAAAACAAGTAAAGTATCTTCTCTTAGAACAAAGTAAATAGTTCAAGAGATTAATTAAACCTTGCAGCATTCCCAGTTGGAGCCCAATTTTGACCAAAACGAGTATCGTACATGCTAAAATAGAAATATTGATTAATTATAACATATCTATTTTTTTAAATTCTATTAAAAATAGAAATATTTATCAAAAGAAATGTTATCGATTTTGAAATGATGCGTCTTCAAAAAAGACTGATCAGAGACGATATCTATCGTAAATGTACGGTACTACAAACTCACTGTAATTTTTAGAATTAAATAGTAAAAAAAAAAATTTAATTTAATACCATTCTGTATAATAGCATAAGAAGAAAATAAGACATTTATGACCTAACAATATACCAAATATACGAAATTATAACTCTTATTCTGTTTTCTCTAAATAATAGTTTTTTAATACAAAATTTCTATTATTATAAATATAACTTAGACATTATAGACAATTTCAAGAGTACAATCATCAAGTATGTCTATTAATCAGTATTGATATTTTATATAATTGTTCAAAATGACAATTAGAAATTAGAAACTGAAATAGACAATCCGTTATTCGTCACTTATATATAAATAACAATCGAAAATGAAAAATAATCTTACCGTTTAAATAAATCGTCAAGAAAATATTCAAATATCGATTATGTATAAGATAATACTCATTTTTTTTAAACAAAAACACTATATTATAGATAAAAAATGGCATTTAATTGTGACATCTGTCAATGAGTGGGTATAATCAGAATTATTTTTCTATTACATCTATTTTTTTACTTAGTTAGTCTATGATTCACTATGTCACACCTGATTGATTATAAACGTACCGTACCACATGTACGTACATAACCTATTGTAAGCGTTATTCAATGTCAGAACCAGGAAGGGCGCGTACAAACATTTTTTCTTTATATTATATTTACAACTTGCATGATAATTACGCATTAACTTTTTTTTAACTACAAACATTTCATCACTAGTCTTTATGAATCCAGTTGATTTTTATAATATAAAATCATCGCTTAGAGTAAAACAATATTGTATTAAATCGTTATGAGATTAAGTCATGACTAATAAGTTGATTTAACGGTGATTTTTTTTTCATATATTTTATTTCATCGTTCTTTGACCCTCTTTCTTTTTTTTTTCTTATGGAAATGTACTTTGATTGATGATTGAAATCTGTATTACTACACCTGTATGAGTCAAACAAGAATGTTCATAGACCAAATCTATCAAATATTAAATTTTTATTTTTGCTTTGTCTTGGAACATTGATTATACTCGAATATTGTTGAATGAAATTACAATTTATAGATATTTTGACGAAAAATACTTAGAAAACTAGAATAAAAATGTTTTAATTTTCAAGTTATTTTGACAAATTTTTATAATTGTTTGTTATTGTTGAAATGCGAGATACATAATGTCCATTATCTAATCATTAACAAGAATGTTTACCTTTTATATAATGATAGAAATATAAGAATATGAAATTCATAACAGATTGTATAGCTAAAAAATGATTTCGATGAGCTTTGAAGAAAGAATATTTACACGTTCAATTCAAGAAAAAAAAATAATAATAAAGTGCATGACAAATAGAGCACTGTATAGTTCACTTTTATTAAGATCAAATTGGAAAATATTTTTTTTTCCTCTTTTCAAACTATTGTCTTTTGCATACAAACTAAAGAGTTCTATTTTACTCTTTCTCTTTGAACAGTAGTTCAGATTAGATAAGCTTAATAGCAAGCAACTATTTTCTACTTTATTTTACTTATGAATATAGACAAACGCTTCTTATCAAACTTAAATTGGAAAATAATATTTTCTAAATTTGATCCGAATATTTCAGCTACAAATTCGAAAAAAATTTTTTTTTATCGTAGTCTGAGTCAGAATCAAATTGACTATAAAGGATTCTAGCGTAGAGTTGTGAAAAAATATTTTTACGAGTTCAACATAGTGAATAACATTTTGAATATTATTTAGTTTTAGCGAAACGTATTGACAAAAGTTTAGAAATTTTTTTTCAAAGAAAATAACAAAAAAAGAAATTTTCACAGAAAATTAAGATTTTTGTTAAAAATTATCATAATGCATGTTTTGTTTAGAATAAAAAATAACTCTTCAAGCTTTTCAACTATGCTGAGCCGGAAAAAACACATTTTCACCATTGTATACGAACTTTAAGTTTTTTTTGTATCAATAATATGGTTTTTCGATAAAGAATGAAAGAAAACGTCATTCTTCGTTATTCTAGTTAAACGTCTAGTCATTTTTTTAGATATAGCTAGCTCTATTTATTGTATCTATTTAGACAATTCTTTTGTCAAAGTATCATCAAAATTATGACAACAAAGTAAATTACAATTTATGAATAAATATTAAAGAAGAAAACACAATTTATAAACAAAAATAGAGAACTTTGAGAATAGTTTCAGTAATGTAATATACTATTTTATTTGAAAGCTTATATAATTGCCATTTATGTTTATGCGTACAAATGATAGTCTGTACAATGTAATAATGTTTGACTAAAATATGTTGTTGTTTTTTTACACTTAAAAATTTCTTAATCAAACAGATAAAAAGAAAAGAAATCATTTTTATAAAGAACAATTTTCAAGGAATAACTAATGTAGAGATCATTTCAACCATCGTACAATTTCAACACATATTAACCGAAAATATTTTTCTTCTTCTATGTCATCATATAATAAATATGAGAACTTTTATTTTATTATTTATTAAAAATTCATTTACACGTATTATTAATTACTTTCATAGAAAAAATCTATTGTATGTATATATTATGAATTAAAGTTTATATTATTAAATAAAAATAAAAATACAAATAATATAAATTATATATCTAATATAGAAAAACAACAACAACAACAACAGAAGATATCATCAAAAATATATATATAATAAACATCTTAATAATAAATTCTATGAGAATAATAGTAAATCGTAGCCAAATATTTGTAACATTGATTTTAAATGAATCTTTTCTTTAAAACTGTACTATACAAATAAACTAATTTTGAAGTGTTAAAATGCTCTCAAAAAAAAAAGAAAAAGAATTAATACTAATGATAAATTTTTATGTATTGTATTTGTTATTAATATGTCACATATTCACTTCTATTATTAACTTTAAAAAGACCAAATGTACACTTTATCATTTAATGTCGAAATATTTAAATTTTCCTAAGCATTTTTTTTTTGAATAATTAAGTAATATCAGTTTCATTTCTCTCTTGTTCTATTTGTTGTTGTCTTACTAACCATCTTCGATTTATGTGATCAGTCGACGGTTCTATCCAACAATGTTTACCATAAAGGTTAACATAGAGTAATAAAAAAAAAATAATGAGCATAAACGCAATACCAATTATATAAATTGCATTAATAACAACACAAGTTTTCTGTGGTGATTGTTCAGTAATAATTGTTGTACTTTGACTTGTTGTTAATGTTGATATTGAAAAAGATGAAATCGATGTTAGAATAGACGTAAAGATAAATGATGATAATGTTGCTGTTGACGTATTTGAAATTAACAGATAGTCGTCGTTCGAATAAGGAGGCATAAGTCAAATAATAACAATCGAGACCATTTATTTTAATAAAAGAATAATTTTTTTTTTTTGTTAATTTAAATCCCGGTAAAAAAAAATATTTTCTGCTCACCGGAGAATAAAGGGATAAAAAAAATGAAGAAATAATAGAAGCAAAAACAAAATGAATTATTGATCGATTGAAACAACTGGTCTATTCGTATAGAGATATTTTAATTTTTAATTTGTTCTAATAGCTTATATAATGTAGAAAATCAATATTAAATGTAAAAATACAAAAAAATTACAACTAAATCATTTTTTCTTTTATTTTCTTGACTTTTTCTATTTATATTACCGTTTATTATACATCATTTCACATCCTCCCTTCTATTCAACGTTTTTGTTTCAAGGGTGTTCATCTCAACACTCTCATCTGTATCTTTTTCTTTTTGTTTTTTTGTTATTCTTCAATCTCAAGACTGAAATAAAATTAAATATAATAGGATAGCTTGGTCGACTTGATAATGAAGAGCGGACAAGTAATTCATTTGGTTTCATCTACTGATTATGTGAGACTCAATGTTATGTCATTATCAAAACAAAGAAGAAAAAAAAATTTTTTTTTGAAAATTATCTTCTCTTATAATACTATGGTTGATCTAATGACGTCAAAAAAAGAGGAAATTGCGTGAATATAAATAAATACAGTAACGTCTTTTGTCTTCTTTGTCTCACTCTCTCTGTTTTACGAAAAGAATAATGAAAAGAAATTGAATAAGAGCTTCCGAAAAATTAATTTTCTTCTCTCTCTCTCTCTGCCTCTGCCACACACAAATACACACACACATACTCGTTATTTCCCGATGTTCAATACAAAAAGAAAAAAAAAAGACTCATTTTATTGTTTAATCATTTATGATAGTTTTACTTGTATAACCACAATTCTCTTTTTATCTTAACACAAAAAGAAAATCGGCTATCGTGCATGATTCTATTATTCAAGTGGAAAATTTTTTAATGATAAATTCATTAATTCTAGATCGCAAACAACTCCCACAACGATGAGCAACGATGAACTTCATTTTTACATTAAAACTATAGTCTAATAAAGAAGAACAAAAATCCATTTGGGATATTTGACAGATAACTCAGTGAGTGAAGATCTTTATTAAACATTTATATAGAATAACATAGTATCGTATTTATGACCCATCCGAAATTATTTAATTACCATCTGAGACTATATAGTGAGCAATCATTTAAAAAATTTGTCCATTTTAAAATATATCAGTTAATCATATTGTTCGTTTCGTTTCTACTAATTTCTTAATAGTTAAATCATATTCGAAATACTTACAAATTAAAAGTCTTAACGTATTCTTTAGACTATTCATAAAGAAAACCTAGAAGAATCTATTGAAAAGAAGTATATAATGAATAGAACTGAGAGAATCCGAAAAATGTCTCGATTCAGGTAATTTTTTAAACCCTTTTTTAATTGTTGTCATATA